ATCTTGTCTGATTTTTCTTTCGCTTTCCATCACCACGTTCTCGCCTCTGGATGCTATTATCCCGTGTTGCCCGAAAGCAATTTTCTCCGTCGCTTTCTCCAATCGCTTTTGCGGCCTCCCTTGGCTCGCCGCACGACGTTTAAAGGGTCGTTAAAATCAGACGAAACTTGTGCGGTACTTGAGCGTAAAATGAGTATCTCAAAAATATCGTGGTCGAAGTAGATTAAATAAATAGAAGACTGCACTGTTAAATCTATAGTGTCAAATTTAACTTAACGTGAGTCGCTACTGTTCCTACTAAATATATCGTTATTTTTTATCAAAACGATAGATATATATGATCGTGTCAATTTGACATTATATAGTGTCAACTTGACACTGTATAATGTCAGATATAACCATTGTTTTAGTATAAAATAACGATATGATTGAGTAGAAACAGTGGCGACTCACGTTAGGTTAAATTTGACACTATACTCGTAGATTTAACAGTGTGAGTTATTAATATTATCAAAAGTTATCCTATATCGAAATCAATATCTTTAAATTCTGTATAATAAAGAGTCGTCAATTAATTGTGAGTGAATAAATAATTGTCTATTAAAAGTTTATTTATACGCGGAATTTATTAATGCGGAATTTATTAATGCGGAATTTAGAACCATACGATGTCGCAAACATCTCAGAAAGTTCTTTAGTCATGGAAGTAACTCGCGTTAGTTGGTAATGAAGCAGAGTGTCCCAAGTTTTGTCGATGCACCTGGAAAGTCGTGCGTCTCGCATAGTTAAAAGTTTGAAAGACTTATGTATGCAAAAAAATGTGAAACGCGGAATTCTGTCTAGTAGTTCAACGCTCGGTCGTTCGTTTTACATCGAGCGTATTTTCGTGGCCGTTTGCTCGCTTGCCGAGTCGATAATTTGGCTTTCTGTCTTCTACTATTAAATTTATAATGTCAAATTATATTTAACTTGAATTATTTTTAATTATTTCTGTAGGTCGCCAGTACTCCTCAACATGTTATCTCAATTTATTATATTAATTTAATTAAAACAATGGAGTTAATCAATTTAACTCAAGAAAATGTACTAAATTTGACTCAAATTTAATTTATTATTTACTACAGGCCTGTCCAATTTGAGCTCCGGAGGCAAAACGCAAAGCCATTGACGCAAAAAAATTCAATGTGAATAAGATTTTAGGCACTGTAAAATATTGATAAGCGTCACTCTCAGATGTGTATCAACAATTTTACAGTCCCCGAAATCTCACCCACATTAAATATTTTTCCGTCGATGGCTTAGCGTTTCGACTCCGGAGCTCAATTTACTACAGGTCTAATTTACTACATTGAAGAAATACTATATTTTAATAAATATTTGTTTGAACAGTTTCAAGTAAATATTTGCTAAATGTAAATATATATTTATTTGATACAAAAAACCATTAATTTAATTATCATTTTTTTTTATTGAGCGAATATTTATTTACTATAAGTAAATGTTTACTTAGTACTTTTTACAGAAATGTATATTAATCTTCTAACCGTGTCGGGTCTTTTTTGACCCGAGGGTTTTTAAAAAGTTCTCGTGGTATTACAGTATTGTCAACAAAAAGATCAAGTTTTGAACATGATCAATGATATAGGTATGATATGAACTCGGATAGAGAGTAAGACTCAGAAAATTTTTTGTCAGTGCATATGTTAATATTGTTTAATATAAATCAAGCGATTCAACTTCTGAAATGGATTGATCTACATTTTGACATGGAAGTAAAAAAATAACAAAATGTTATTTAACTCAACGGATTGGATTACCAATTTTGATATCAGTATATCTCATGATAATTTCCTTCGTAATAAATATTAAAATAGGAAAATTTATCTCATTCTATTAATGCGATTTAAGCAAACGTTAGTGTCGATCATCTGATTTCAATCTGCACGATGTTGCTTACAATGTACATTTTTCACCGTCAAAAAGTGAAATAAAAAGAAACGGACGCGTACAGCGCGATTGATGCGCACATTTCTAATCAAGCAAATGCGAGAAACAATGCGGTCTGGCGGGAAGCCAAATTTGCGTAAACAAAATTGAGTTCGCTCTGAAAATCAGGTCGCCATATATCTCATTGTTACAGCTACCTCCCTTCGTTCCTCCCAAAATCCAAACAGCATCACGGGGAAGGTCAGCCGGAAAACTTCCCTTGTTGTTCCGCTGTAGCCGAAAAGTCTGGCGCCGGTATGACGGCGATCCAATGGTGCATCCTGTTCAGAGGACGAGCGTCAGTACTCTTTCACCTCTGGCGCGATGTGCACCGTGTGTGTCTATTCTTCTAGTCACCTTCTAGTCTTCATCTCGAGAACGAGAGATATTGTCGAATTCATCTTTTGTTCACGAGTAGTTCTCATTTCGCAAAATCCACTACACTCTCGCTATCGTAATATCAACTCGCGATTTTTTCGCAATTCTCATTTTTATTTAACTTTAACTATACGTGTAACTCATTGCGATAAATCACTCGTCAAATCGGACGAATCAAAGGAAATGACTTAGAACACAGAGAATGCTTTGATTAATTCGATAGATAGGAGGAATTTTCACATGTAACTTTGGAAAATTTCCAATAGATATAAAAGCAAAAGCAGATTACAAAGTAAATAAACCACACACGCGCCGTTTGTTTCATAGACGGAATAAAAGAAGTTGAACGTTTTAAAGCTGACGACGTTTGACGATAAAAGTTTCTGTGGTGACAAAGGAGCAAGATCGGAACGAGCCTTCTTGTCTAGCTATTTTCACGTATCGCGGTAGCGTTTTGTCAACCACGAGGGTATCGAGCGAAGGAGTTCTTCGAGATGTTGAAGTTCCGAGTCGCATCCGGCCAACGGAAGTGCGACAGCATGGTGAGAATCTTAAGCGTTTGTGACTTAAATCTCAACTCGATACGTGGTGAGACGTCGCCGGTAGAAAGTTAATTTTTCTAGATTTATCTTAAGAAATTCGTTATGAATCCTTCGTTCAATTTTGTCATTGCAATGTCAACAGAAAGCTCGACTATCCACGACACGATGCGATTTTTACAAGGGCCTGTTTTCCACTCTCTAGTTAACTTGTTAGATTTATACTTATTTCTACTAATGTAGATTAACTTTAATCTCGGTTCAACTTATTGTTTTTTTTTTTTTCTAATTCTTTCCAGACAATAAAAAGTCCAAATTCGAGATATAAGACGTCTTAAAAAAAATATCTTTAAGAGAGACATTTTTTTAATGTTTTCAAGACATCTTGTGTCTTATTTTTGGACATGCGTGTTGTATGGGTTAGAACTAGAAAAAGATAACGAATTAGTTAAATCGAAATTAAAATTAAACTACAATATATTGATAGAAACAGATATCAATCTGACGACAACGTAAAATTTTTTTTTAATTTAAATGATTTCGTAGTGTGTAACTATTAAAGTTATCACTACAAAGCCATCAGTTTAATGACTGATCATAGCTAAAAAAAATATAATTTTTTCATTATCAAGTTAAGTGATTAAATCTATGAGTTAACTAAGTAATCCGCCACTTTTTTAACCTTTGCAGGATAGAAAACCTATAATGACGCTGAAATAGTGTCACGTTTTAAGGCAAAGAATATAATGAAATAATGAATTATAACAAATGTTATTCAATAAAAATTTGTAAGATTTAAAAAATAGATCTCTAAAAGTGTGTGTTAGTAAATATATACGGACGCTTTTGCTATGAAAAAGTTAATAATTTTATAATGCTACAAGTATATATATTTGTATCATTTAATATAATATTATAATATAAATGATATAAATATATATTTGTACCATATATATTATAATATTTATCTTAAGGATGTATCTGAGCTATTCCAAAAATAATACCAAATTGATGAAACTTCGGGAAACTCTTCCTCTGTTATCTGTAATATACAAAAAAAATTTCAAGTAGATTTACTAACCATTAGAGAGTAATTATTATTTTAATTATGATGATTATAAAAATTTAATATTTATAATACTGGCCAGTTAATAACTTATTTTAAATATTAAAAATATTATTAATAGTATTTTTAATACTGAAAATAAATGATTAATTGGCCAGTATTAAAGTTCTATAAGAGACGTTTTCTTACGAGAAACGCAACTTTGTCGAATGTAATTAGTAATAAAAGTATTGAAGAAATAGTACCAAAAATTTAATTTCTTTTATACGTATAGATCCTAAATTACTGGAACTTTTTGCAAAATTAGATTAATTTTTACAACACGGTTTCAGAGAAATTATTATTCATAATAATTTTGCGTCAATCATTGGCAGACTATGTAAGTGCGGCAAAAATAACTTTTTAAAAATAAATATATTGTATTATCTACACTGTTAAATCTATAGCGCCAAATTTAATTTAACGTGAGTCGCCACTGCTCTTATTCAATCATGACACGATATAGTGTCAAATTTAATTACCGTATTAGTAAAAAATAACGATATATTTAGTAGGAGCAGAGCAGTGGCGACTCACGTTAAGTTAAATTTGACACTATAGATTTAACAGTGTACCATTTACATAAGTTATCACTAGATTTACTACACGTTTGTGGCGCAGTTGTGCAAATATTTCGAATTTGTGAGACTTTTGTCAACGATTGTATGTCAGACACATCCTTAAATATTCTGTGGCATTTATATTTCATCGTGTTTTGATCCACCGTGACGGTAATTTGTCGTCGCTTCGCCTGTACGGCCGCTTTCAGACAGCGTCGCGTGTCTGAGAAGTTGCCTGCCTTTAGGCGCACTGATGGACTGCAGTGGTTCTCAATCACTTTTCTGGTTTGATAACTCGCTCGGCGATTTACGATATAATTAAATCGTATTTACTCGCATTAATATTAATTTGTGTTAAGCGATCATAACTCATTAATTCTTAGTACCGTTACCAAATTTTTTTTACCGTACGTACACGGTTATCTGTTTTAGGTGAATCCGGGAAGCAAGGCAGCTCAACAGGGGGTGAGAGAGGGTGATCTGATCAGTAATATTAACGAAAGAAGCACTCGAGATCTGACCAACAGCGAGGCGCACGCTCTGTTACGTAATTCTGGGGAGCAGCTAAAACTCGGTCTCAACCAGTAAGTGATCGAAATATTTAGATTCTTTGTAGTACACTGAAAAAGAATTTTTTAAATTTAAGTAATTTTTTTCTTGAATAGTTCCAAATAAATATTTCCTTACTGTAAATAAATATTTATTAAATGTATAAAACATATTACCTGCAACAAGTATATTACTATAAAGAAATGTTACTTGGAACAACTATAATATTCAAGAAAAAAGTTACTTAGATTTAGAAATTTTTTTCAGTATAATAAAGTATAATTTTATTGTTGTGTTATTGTCAGTATAATTCAACCAGAAATTTTATTTTAATTTATCTATTTTTTTGTCGCAGAGAAAATATCGGCTCGCCGAAGAGGAGAATCTACAGGAGCAGTCTGCAAGAGAACACCACTACCGAAACCCAGAACAGTAGGTATTCTCTGCGAGAACCGATCGATCAATCCCTCGCTCACTTATGAGAAGGAAGTAATCGTAATTCTGTCATTTGTGTGCCGCAGAGATCACCACTAGAACCACAACGACAACGCGCACACGAACGGAGTCGGAGAGGAATGTTGTCAGTAAGTTCTCTGTTTCCTTATGTAAACATCAATTTTCGTATTGTTCTGCTAGTGATGGAACACTGGCTCTTAGCATAATTGAAAATTGTATTTACTTGTAAAACGCGATTGACAAGGGGGAACGTTCGATACAAGCGTACGGTAATTAACAATTTACAAACCATATCTGACAGAAACTTTTGACGAATGGCGTCGAATAAGCTCATGATTAATTAAGTTATATAATATAGCGTCGAATTTACGAGCACTTTCCAATTTAATCGCTGTTTGAACAATAATCCGCCGCGTTCGATATCGATTCCCGATTAATCTCAGGTGGTATCAAAACGTCGACCAAATCGTTATTTTTCAATAAATTTTTAACACGGCTATCCTTTTATGTTTATAATTGCAGCGCTAGTAATCGAAATAATTTCAGTAACATAATTAATTTATAAAGCAATCGCGCGAGTATCGCAATTGCGATACTAATAAATAATCTCTAGAATATTAATGTACCACAAGACAATTAACGCGCGTTGACACATTTAATAATTAACAAATACAGAACTTACGACTCCGATCGTTTTCGTTCCTGCATCGCGTTACGTCGGAGAACCCAGAAATTATCCACGCATGACCGCCGATGTTTGATCGAGCACAATAATCCTGCCAGTTAACTGAGCGTACAATGCGCGTAGTTTAATTATCTCCGATGATCTCAACGGCGAACAATGGCGACCGGTTCCTTTATGCGCGACAACCGCAGAAACCGAAGTTAGCGTCGGTGACGTTTTGGTTAGTCGAATTAATCATGTCTGGCTTTTCATGCGTTGCCGTTTATCGATGTCTAGCAATTATTATAGGAGAAAAACAGGAATAATTAAAATTGTCTTCCAATTGAACCGATAGGGAACGAATTTTTGTAATTCAATCAATTTTTCACTTTTTAACCCCTTCAGACTATTTTAATGTACATCAAACTTGAAGACATGTCCGTTGAAATTATTTAATTCTATCGACATCAGATGAGATCAGATGTACATAATAATATATATGTTGGAAAAATAAATATGTTCGAAATTTTGAAAAATTTAATTGTTTAGTATGAATTACTTATTATAGTGTCTTGAATTGAATTTTAAAAAAGTTATTTTTTTTATGGTTCCAATAAAATTAGGTGTAGGGGTTAGAAATATTTATGTATGTACCTAGAAAAACGAAAAAAGCTATGGTTGAAATAAATATCTCAGGAATCTTCGTATAATCATCGAGAGATATCGATTTCGAAAGCCGGAGATTAGAGATGACTATTAGAGATTTTTATTTCGTCCAATTAATCGCCGATAATTAGCGGCTTATTCCGATCCTCGGATGACTGGATAATAACGAGCCTAATAAGTCCATAATGTATGACGTGTACGGACCATAAATGTACACGGATCATCCCACTCTGGTCGTTATTACTGGCTCTTTTCTCCAAATTGCCCGCTCGTCGTCGCGGTACAGTGCGCATCCAGACAGGGGCATACCCACGCCGCTCGTCGAATGTGCGTGCGTTGTTCACGCACACACAACCCACCTGTCCCCGGCTCGCACGTACATTCTCATGTACACGAGCGTACACCTGCCACTACAACGACACGCTGCAATTCCGTGCGGGCGCACCCTTGACTCTCCGGGAAGACCCTACGTCGAGGAGGCGACCCTCTTCTTCTTCTCTTCTTCCTTCACTGGGCCGCCGTTTGCGGACCCACCTTTCTCGTTCAGTATCGGGGAACAGCTTGTCGAGCGCGCCGCGCCGAGCAATTGAGTTTCAAAGTTTCGCTTATTTCGAAAATAAGCACCGGAATCGCCAAGATTTTCGGCTTTTTGTGATCGAGGATCGGGGATCGATCGCCTGATTTTCCGGAAGACGTCATCGATGGAAAAGTGAAATGTGAACCCTGTAATTGAATCAAATATTTAAAAACTCAGAGAATTAAAATAAGAGACAATACAGAACAATGAGCTAAGCACGATGTCAGTGCACAATACTACATTTAATGTATTGACCAATTCAAACACAAAATTAAAACCCAAATGTTTCGGTTCACACTGAACCATCCTCAGTGGATAAACACTTATGTACAAAAATTTAGAATACATGCATTCGCAAGCCATGCTTTGATAACATTTCTTCATTAAGAACTTATCCCCCAGTAAAAAAAGTGCAATTGATCCTCATATATGAGTCCGTATCAGAAGAAAATGGTTTCAATGGATAAATTTCTGTAATGTTAGAGAAAAAGTGTGACAGTCCATGATTATTGGCAAAGCTCCAGAATGAAGCTGTTATATTTAAAAGTGGGCTATAAAATGAGATAAAATAGTATAAATGTATAAATTGGAAAAAGAATCACGACTCATATAAATATAATCATAATTGTGATAAAAATTTGCAGATCTGAGTAATCACGTAATTTTTTTTCGGCGCGAAGATATTTGAAAATTTTAGACGCAAGGAGATACGGAAAGTGTAAGACTGTTGATAATTACGCGATCAATCCCCTGATCCTCCGCTTTATCATGATAATGTAATTTCTCGTGTAAATTTTTTTTATCAATTTGATCGATAATTTATTGAATGCTCAAGCAAATATACAGGGCAATGTCGATGAGTGTTCAATCAGGAAACGCGTACAACAGCGGGGATGCCTGTGAATGATGGCGATCGTCGACAATGCGCGTATTATCCGACGGTACAATGGTCGCGAATCGCTGTTTAATGAATCCGCATGCAATTGCGTAATGAGGAAAGAAAGGGCGCGCTGGATGAACTCGTCGTGACAAATCACGCGATGAAAGTAAATTCAGCGTGGACACGTTGGCTCAATGATAATTAATGAAGCTCGATTGAAGTGGCGATAAAGGTGACAAATTGAAAAATTAATGATCCTCCATGAAGATGAAGCTTTTCGATTGTATTCGGTGTCTCAAAACGCTGAATCAACGACACGAGTCGCGACAACGCAATTGCGAGACGACGGATCCACTGGTGATGACGAAACGACCACCCACGCGTCGTCAACGTTATCAACCTCATCATCGTCGCTTCGAAGGTCCGCAAAAGGTGACTTCGTCGCGGTCCAACGCCCGATTTTTAACCACGATACGTAGCTTCAGCGCTTCGTGGAAACGGCGAGGACTCGCGAGGACTAGGAACAAGCACGAGATCCGTACGAAACCAAGGAAGCTCACTAACGATGAGATCAAATCGAAGAGCGTGGGAATCCCCAAGACGGCTAATGGAATCCACCTGAAGAGGAAGAGGAAGATCCCTGCGAAAAGTGTGGAAACGTCAAAAGGCAACGACATCGGACGATGGGAGGAAGTCAACGTCGCCGGAAGAAGGGCCGGACAGCTCGAGCGTGAATATTATGAGCACCTGGAAGCGCTGAAGTTCCTCATCGACCCGCCGCCGTGCTTCCGTAACACGGAGACTCGGCAGAACTTCGAAAACAAGTTGAACAGCCTTGATTTCAGGCGGATGAACACCGTGGCGATTCCTGCGGGACCCGAAACTAATGGATATCAGCATCTAGAAAGTCCCAACGGGTTTCGGAGCTCGATCCGTGAAAATGATGATCTGTACGATCGCAGATCGTACGCAGACACCCTGGACCGTATCGTCGAGGAACATTTGAAGATCGAGCGCACGATGATAGATTTGTTCGTCAGGGCGCCGATCCTGAAGAGTCGACACGGCGTACAAGTGTCCCCCGCGCGCGAGAACAAAACTGTTCGCTTCAAGGATGAGGTGGAGCGCTCGGGAACATCTGTCGAACGATGGAAAGAAGGATTGAGACCCGAGGGCGAAGGTCGCGAGGCCGGGAGGATGGAATTCGATAATCTCGTAAAGACCGAGGAAATCTCGGACTTTCCTCGCGACCGAGTACCGAACGAGAGCTCGAACGTATTCGATGTCGAAACGCGGAACGGTAGGTAGCGATTAACTTCAATTTGGGAAGAGATTTAGAAAACGTCGAAACATATCGGAAAAAGCGATTTAACGTCGAAACGTATCGGAAAAAGCACGCATTTCTACACTGAGGAAAAAAAACGCTCAAAAATTTATTTGAGATATAATGTTTATTTCACTGAAATAAATCCTTATTTGAACAAAGCGAAATAAAATTTTATTTCTAGCAAATAAACTATTCATTTTTTTTTTGTTGTTAATGAGATGCACATATTTTACAAAATATATATTTCGTTATCACAGTTTAATATTTCTATAATCAATAAATATCGAAAAAAACGTCATATGTAGTATATTTGCTTGCGAATATTTCGATTTTTTTTCTCAGTATAAATATTTATAGCATTCTCGTAAAATTTTGAGGACGAGTAAATGCTATTTAAGAAACATAACTGAATATTATAAATCTTGATCGAGATTTCGCGTAAACACGTGATTTGAGCTTAATCAGTTGTGAATTTCATGGTCCAGTAATGACCAAAGTTTCTCTCCAATCATCAATCCAACTTGCGTTAATATCAACTCGCGACAGTGCTCTTCTTGCCACTGAAATTCAAGCGTCATTTATGGGCTGTTCTTGCGCTCTCGCGACGAACGAGATAGTGCAATTAGCGATGCGTCATTACGTTCGCTTTTCGAGGGTCATCCGATTCTTTAAATAGAGGATGCACGAGAGTCCTAAGTGCTATCGACGCTGCCTGTTAATAAACTCAAGTGTCGTATTCGTGAACGCGCTTCAAATTTTATTATGATGAAACTCGATCATAAAGAGAGCTGTGACCTTCTCCCTTATATTTTGCAAATGGTGATACATGGCTATTAATATTTAGATAGTATTATTGTTCTCTGTATGAGCTTTCTAACGACGACAATATCGAGCGATATTTGTTCAAGTTAATGACGCTATCGACAAAATCACCATAATAATTTCTTCGCTACAATCTTTTGTGCTCTGACATTTATCCGCCGATATTATGGCCGATGGAACGGCTTTCGATTTACGTCGTGAAGTCCCAGTCGCAGCCTCTATCGAACAATGCGCCGCCGGAAATAGCAATCCCCGTTTGTGAGCGGGCTTGTACGAACGGAAATTGTTCCTTTATCGTAACGCGAACAAGCTACGCATTAGATATTTAGGGTAATCGTTTGCCTACATGAAAAATACTGTACAAAATACTGTGCTTGTTTTTAGACAGTCAAAATCGATCGATAGTAAATAAATTTCACCGCACTATCGGAAACTGATTTTGGTATAATTTGGAAGTTTCTTTTTGTTTTTAACTAGGAATATACATATATATGTTATTATATTAAATAAATATTGTTATTATTTTAATATTTATATAATTACATAACAATTACGACGTAGCTTTTTAGGATAGTTGAAAATAACGATAAAAAATCTTTATGAAAAAATCGCGCTTGATATACGAAAAGAACAATTTTTTGTTGAAGTATTTAAGAATTTAGGTAGATATAGATCTGAAAATAATTTTGTTAAATCATCAAAATAATATAAAATTCAAACATGATGAACATTAGAATGCTGTAAAAAGTTTTGACATTCTAGTAAACAGTTTGAGTGTCCTACATAATTAGTTTAACAAAATTATTTTCAGATCTGTGTCTTCAAATTTTTACACTGAAAAAGAAATACTAAATTTTAGTAAGTCAGTTGTTGGAATGGTGCCAACTAAATATTTACTAAATATAATGATATATTTAGTACAAGAATCATTAATTTGGTTTAATTACCATTTCTTATTATTGAATAAATATGTATTTGCTGTAAGTAAATAAATATTTACTCAATATAGGTACTCTAGAGCAAAACTGTTCTTTCCGTATAAAACCCAAATGCAAGGGCATCTTGAAATAGTTCATCGAATCTACGCGGAGCGTGACGCCGGTGATCGATTATGCAACGGACAGAGTCGTCGGGCAATAAAATATGTCATGCTGGTCGATTGCGCAAGCGACGAACGACAGTGGCGATCGGATCGAAGGAAATCCTTCGTCGTGAGGGAGTTCACGGTCGGACGACGAGAAGGACGAAAAGGGCGCAGCGCAGGGCAGTTGTGGAGGACGAAGATGGAAGACGCGAACCGCGGAAACGTGGGCTTGGCACCTTCGGGGCATGACGGCACACCCATTTCGCCCATCGCGTGTATTAACGTGCCCGTGGCCAATGGGCCCGTCGCCCCGGCTGGAAGTTGCTCGCGCGAAACGTTCCCTCTAATTTTCCCCCAGGGAAATTCGTCGCCGTAATTTTCCTCCAAGAGGTCTCGTTTCCTGTGGTAGTCAGATTTTTACAGAGATTTTGTGTAATTTTACGTAGATTGAAAAAATGACTGTTTGTATTAATTGTTACAGGGTTGACACGGAAAGAAAGTTTTGCTGAAATATTTGAAAAATTAGCTAAATACAAATCTGATAATAATTTTGTTGGATCATCAAAATAATTATTATAATAATTATTGTTAATAATTTTTATTAATTATATATTCAATTATTATTAATAAATTATTGTAATATAATAATAATTATTAATTAAAATGCTTAATCGTTGATGACAATTTTGCAAAAAGTTTTGATATTCTAGCAATCAGTTTGAGCGTTCTACATAATTATTTTGATGATTCTAACAAAATTTTCAGGTAGAGATAAAAATGATTCAAATAATAAAAAAATCAGGAACTTTGTATAAAAACTCAATAAAACAGTTCTTTTCCTTGGTCCCTGAAAGTTTTTTTACTCGCGAGTAAAAAAACTTCCAGAGATTAAGCAAAAAATTTTTTTTATTGAATTTTTTATTCATAAGTTTCTAATTTTTTTCGGTCATATTCATCTCCATTTTCAGATCTGTGTCTAGCTAAACTTTTAAATGTTTCAGAACCACTTTTTCTATGAGATGGACTGAGGGAAAACATTTGTTTGCCTTTTCAAAAAGTCGCAGGATTATACGATAGCACTGCGTGGTCGCAGTTAATCCCCGACTTTCATCCCTTTTCATCGCGTTCGTGTCTTGTCCGTGACAGCCCAATCCCTACCGCGTAAGCTTCTTCGATCCCATTGCAATTAATGTGATATATATTTTATTGCGCGGCAACTCGTTGCGTAACTGCAAGGTTACAACATCGGCAAGATAGGGCGTGCACGCGTATTTGCGTGCGTGTAGTGGATTTTTACGACTATCGTCAAGACTTTAACCCCAATCGGAATCCTTATTTTAGCTACGTGCGACAGCACACCGAGATACGGGGGCGTTTGCTCGAAAGAAAAAAAAAACAAAATGTTTCGTCACTTCCGGATCTCGTGCGACTACCACGTACCCGCGTGTGTCCGTTCGCGACTGCCGTGACGCAATGAAAAGTGCGGAGAATAGATGGGTGCGCTCGCGCGACAGAGTCACTCCGCCGGCATTGTACGCTCGGAAGGAAGTCCAACTCGGAAGCGGCGCTATTCATGAATTCAGAGAGGAGACTCGTGTGCGTGCGTGCTCATGTACCCCCGTGCGAGCGTTAATGCGTGCTACAGTTTCGCGTCTGTGTGCGTGCACGTTGCACATCACCGTCCATAAATATCCCGAGTTCGTGCGCTTTCCAAAAAAAAAAGGAAAAAAAAAGAGGAAGGTTGACACGTTTCTCTCTGCAGAATTTTTCGGAAAATTGTCAAGTGCTTATACGGTGCTCCACGTCAACGCATCTAAGTACCGGAGCGAGTCAAGCTTCGAGCGGAACATCCGAACAAGAGATACAGTAGGTCTGCTTTCCGTCTGATCTGGTTAACTTAATATTGGTTAATTAATTTCTGGAAATCTAATCTGGTTCGTTTAATACTGATTAATTAATTACTGGAAGACAGTAATTAATTACTTATTTAAAGTACTAAAAGTATTGAACAACAGTTTTTAATATTTAAAACAACTTTTGATATTTAAAATTAGTAATTAATTACTGTCTTTCAATATTGGCCAGTACTAGAGGCCAGTTTTGTAAGTATTTCTGTGATTAATACTACATACTTGAACTTACAGTGAGATAATATGATTGATATTTGACAAAAGCGAGAAAGATAATTTTAGTGCAGTTTAGTGCACATTGAAAAAAATTTACTAAATCTTAATACATATTTCTTTGAATAGTACTAATTATAAGTAAACATTTTCTTACAGTAAGTAAATATTTATTCAACAAAAAAAGATGGTAGTTTGATTTTTTATTATTAATAGTATTAAATATATGTGTTTACATTAATAAATATTTACTTAGAACTATTCAAACAATTAAAATTCCAAAGTCTCCAAAAGCTCAATAATTATAATTTGAAATAATAGAGTGTCTATGAAAAGGCAATGAGCTTAGCATGACGACAGTGCAACTATTCAAACAAATATTTATTAAAATTTAGTATTTTTCTTCAGTGCAACAATAAAAACAGACCTAGTGATCATTTCATCTTTGTTAAAAATTGTCAAACAAGGATGTAACGATTCACTGTGTTACACTGTGTCATCAGTGTCCTTTGCTGGAAAGCTCCTCATATCTCTCGGAAGATAGAGCCTGAAAATTTTGGATCCGTACGACCGACACACCGATGACGGTGTATTAAAGTTCCCATTCGTTCAGTCGCGTAATCATCCACGTGTGTGAGTGATACAAATTCACCTGGATCGACGTGGATACGTGCACGAAACACGTGACTCCACACGGGTGGGGACATGAGCGCATCTCGTGGGTGGTTTCGTTGGTTCTACTCGTGTGGCTCAGTGCATAATCGCGATTCACGTATCCTACAGGTCGCGGTTGTGCCGCTGAATCGCGACTGGTTAACATGGGCGTCGTCGTCGTCGTCGTCGTTGGAATTCTCGCCTAAATTTAACGCACCCGTTCGTGCCTCGGCAACGTGCGACGGTTCACGTTTGTCGTCATATTTCGTGCGTGCACTCGCAAAGTCGCGGATTTTCATCGATTAACCGGTACCGTTGCGAAAGGCACAAACCGATAGGCTCCTGCGAAGTCTGTCATAAAAATGTGACGTGTGAAGGAATTCATCGGTTGAGACTGAACGACGTAAATCGTAAAACCGTTTTGCTAAAATTTATTAATTTTAAAATTCTTTCATCCAACATCATACATTTATTTAGATGTTAAGGAATTTTTAATAACTTTTTGCTATCGCGAGTTTTTAATAAATGAAATGTTTTTGAGAGATGATACGTGCTGTCTATTGCAACATCGAACCGTTTCTTTCAGATGACACAAAAGTCGAGCAGAGCTACGCCAATCAGAACGGTGCTCTAAAGAGCTGCCCGAGCGAGCAACGAAGCGACGCTAAGAAAGGTAAGAGCGCTTTGTTATCGGAGATTATATATTTAGGAATGTTGGGCTGGACCACGCTTTCTGCATGAAATACTGTACGATATCTTCTTCCTTCTTTTCTTCATCAAGCATCATCTTGTGATTGCGATTGTCTGGAACGATCTTTCTAAAAGCCTGCCGAATTGTCTCGCGTAAAAGGAAACTGGAATACGAATAAATATCCCGTATATAGGTAAAGTATGCGGTGTATTAAAAATTGGCATAGTAAATTTCCTTGAGAATTCCGAAACAGAAATATTTGGGGGATATTGAGATGCATGCTGGAATGGTTAAAGAATCAAGATTGTATTTAAACTGAAGAACAATCATCAAAATCTTCAAAACAATTTTAGTTGACTAAAAAAAAAAACTATTTTAATTTTATCTTTCCTATCTTTTCTTTAAGTCGGAATGGAACATTTCGTGTCCAATAGAAATTCGTAGGAAAAATTGAAGCTGTAACTTTCTGCAAAATGCAGTACGGTAACATCTTTTCATCGTAATACTCTTAGAAACTTTCAAATCCCGTTGCTCCTTTCCGGACGATGCGGGAAAATCGTAACGAGCCGTCGTCTTTAAACGTGAAAATAAGGGCGCGTCAAACGCACGTACGTGAGTGTGTAAGAAAAATCCCGAGTCGGAAAACTCGTGGCGGATATTAGATAAAAGAGAACGAGGAGAAACAGAAAGGAGAAGGTCGGAGAAGTTACCGTAAAACGACCGCGACGCGATATTTCCGAGAATTCTACGAAAGAAGAGAAAGAAGGCGAGAGAGAGAGAGAGGACGTGCGAGAACGTGCGCTACTAGTTTTTCCACAAATTCGCGACATCGTAGGACATCACGATCTTCTGGATTACGCAACCGACGCGGAGGACTGTGCCGTGATGCCGCAGGGCAATGCGCGCAACCGTAACCGCAGCCGCAGGAATCGGAACCGACGGCGACCTCCTCAGCCACCGACGAACGTCACGGAATCCTCGCGAAAGGCCGAACAGAGGAAGCTCGAGGAAGAGAATCGTCCAACCTCGAGGAACGAGCGCGACAACGGCGACGATGACGACGACAACTCGAAGACGAACGACTCCGTCGCGGAGAATCCCGTTCCGGAGAATGTCGATCTGACCGAAGACGAGGATCGGGGCGGATCCTCGTTGAATCACGAATGCAGATTCCGATTGAACGATAAGCACCGAATTGACAAGATCGAACTGGCAGAATCTTGTCCCGGGATAATCGAGATCACGACCGTCAGCAGTTTACCTCTGGAAGCGACGATCGGCCACATCGCCGGGGTGGGCATTTTGGAGACCGGAAATGGTAACAGAGCGTTGAAGGAAGCGACGATAGTGACGGTATCGGAACCGGTGGAATCGGTACAACCGCTTTCTGGTTGTACAAAGACCAGGCTCTCGCAAGCGAATGAAACTCGATTGGAGATCCGAGAAGTCAATGACAGCGATGCGGAGGCCGATTGTGGGTCAGCAATCGTCGAATTCGAATCCGATGCAGAGTCGGTCGGTGGACAGGATTCCGAGGATCGCGTGGAATTCAAGCCAAGGGATCGGATCGGGCAGCAATACGTGCCACAGAAGAAGTTTCCCAAACCGGAAATGGAATCCCCGACTCTAATGTGGGCCACGGTGATGCCGAGAGAGGTAGAGAAAAAGCTGCGAAATTTCATCGAGGACCTCCAACTGCCGAGTTTCTCTGAAGAAGTAATCGAGGATGAGGGGCGATCTCTCGAGAAAGTTGCGTACGACTTCACGACAGAAGAGAGCAGATCCTTCGAGAAAACAGCTAGCTCGCCACGTCGGAAAACGAGGAAGCGCGCGATGTCGGCGTCGCATTACGCCAGCAGCTTTCTTGACATTATACAGGAGGAAGGTGAAAGACTATCGGAGGACGAGGCACAGCATATCAGAGATTTCATAAACGAGGAAATCAGCAAATATCGGCGCGAGGACAGGCATTCTGTCGAGAGGATGACATCGACGGATGGTGTTGAAGCGATAAGGGTTGATACTGAGAAGATTGAATCGGCTCATGAGAAGTCGGAATGCGATATTAAGATTAAGATTGACACGATGGAGAAAGACACTTCGGAATTATGTTCACGCGATAAAGTAAATACTTGCGAGGAGATTGAAAACGTCGAGCCTAATTCTGTTGAAAGCATCGCGAGTCCTGAAACTAAAGTAGCAAAAGACATTAATCCTGTGATTGAAACGATGAGCGAAAAAATAAATGCGAACAATTGCGATAAGATTGAAAACGTCAAGCCTAATTCAGTTGAGAACGTCGTGAGTCCTGAAACTGAAATAGTAAAAGACACTGATCCTGCGATTGAAACGATGAGCGAAAAAATGAATGCAAAGGACGACATCCTAAATAATGAATCTTTGGAAATTTTAGCAGATGCGACGCAAGCTAATTTAAACCTCGAGGACCGTTGTATTGTTGAGGAAATTGAGATTGTGAAAAATGATACTACGAAAGACGGTGAGGAAAATAATGAAGCGGAAAAGCTAGAAGAAAACGTGACAAGTATTGTGACTGTAAGTGATATCAGTGACGCAGATGTAAGTAAAGCGGAAGATAATAAATTTTCGTCGGCAGTCGAGGCACCTGCAAAATCAGACAACCGCGATGTTCCTCGAAAAGATTCCATCGAGACCCGCACGATCGTTAATCACAACGTATCACGAGTGGACGGCAGAGTTGATTCAGCCTCGGATTCGTCATCGAGTGAAGTAACCCTGTCGGAAGCGAAGCGACCGCCGCCTCTACCGAAGAGGTCGTCCAGTTTCGGCCGCGAGCCTCAGAGACCGCCGACGCCACCTGAAATAGACTATATCTCGAACGGCGCGAAGGTTCATCAGACGTCTGTTGCGGTGAACGGCGACGGACGCGAACGCGAGTCGACGAATTTATCCGCGCGGAAGTGTGCGAGTCGCGAAGCGTCGGACGGGCTGCCACGACGGCCGGAGCTTCCTGGAGCTTGCAAGAGTTCTTGCACGTCGAGGACCGGTCGGGCGATTTATGGCGAAGATTTTTCAAGCTCGCGTGACCTCGTCTCGACAATCATTCGCGCTAATGAGATTCGTGACCGTATAAATCAGGTCAGACGCGCCGACACCGCTCCGACAGCCGAGTATGCTGAAGCTTCGACCAAGGGCGGTCGATCGATCGCGTCATCGGGTATTCGCGACGATGATCTGTCACGCTCGCGCGGCACCGGTATGCACGTCGTCACGTTGGCAAGCACGACGAGCACGGAAATAACGCGCCGCGAGGAAGGGAAACTTGCGACGCCCGCTGCACCGGTGGCATATGATCAAAACGCGTCGTCGTGCCGGCAGGAGGGTGAAGCCGAGGTGTGCCGGTTTCCTTCGCGTCAGGAGAGACACACGAATTCGGAAAGGAAAGATTCTACGGTGAATCACGAATCACCGAGGTGCAATAAATCAGATACTCGTTTGAATTTTTCGGTGAGAGACAAATCGGCGATGGGTGCGTCGAGTTCAAAGAGCAAGAAGAAACCCGAGGGAAAAACTGAGAAGAACGAGAAATCGACATCCGGCTTTCACCGCGAACGAATAGTGAAGAGTGAGACGTCGGAGACGAGAATAATCGAACGACACGAGGAGAATACGAGCGCTAACCAGCGCGATGGCCTTCGCAATTCAAAGTATTCGACGTGGGAGTCAAAGCGCGAAGAGAGGCGCGAGAAGAAGCACGAGGAAGAAACGCGCAGCTCATCTCGAGAGAGCGAAACGAGGAATTCGTCCGACGACGAAGCGAGCTTTCAAAGAACGGATGTCCCAGTGAGCGAGAGTCCCTCGCTCGAGGATGAGTTAATCGATGTTCAAGGACATGACTCGTCCAGCAGCACCACATCCTTGAACACCGTAAAGCATCGTCCATTGGAAGCGTCGTTGACCGATATCACCGCGATTGTCCGCGAGACGAAGGAGGAGTACTTGAAAGACGAAGTGGAAGAATCTCTGAAGCGGAAGTTCACCTTGCTGAAAAACACGGAAAGATCCGCAAATGAGACGACGCCGAGAGAGAATTCGAAATCGCCTCAGACGGTTCCTTACTCGCCTGTGAAGGATCTTTATCATGTGCCATTGAAGAGAGAGGTCTCAGAAACTCCTGAGATAGCCGCGAAAGACGTGTCGCGACAACCACCTTCTCTCAGAAAGCTCTGCGTTGAGAGGATTCTATCGATGCCACATGGACCGCAAGTGATAGGCGAGATTACTACGCCCAAGTTCAACATCTTCGAGAGTTTGCGGACTCTACAGAGGTTTGTGAGTGACGCGCCGACGCATCCACACGATAACGCCCGACTAAACTCTATGCATGGAGTGAGTGATCGACGGCACGGACTAACGAAAACGTCGGACGATAGCGAGCGGCATCGTGCTAACGACAATACGAACACTGTTTCAGACCAGGCCAAGTTGCCGAAAAGCATTAATATTGAGTTGTCAGAGTCGGAAAACGAGATGGAGAACTGGGAACCACGGTGGCGTGCGCTCACTACAACAGACCCCAGGCTTCTGGTGTGCCTGTCGCCGTCGCAACAGGCCACGCAGGTGCGCACGAGTGCCGACACCCTGTTGGACCTTCACCGAAAGTTCCTAAACCGGTACAGTTACCGCGAGGAACAGCCGCATTATGTTCCTCTGCCGCAGTACCGAGTTGAGATCCATCCGACCAAAGAGGACAACAACGCGATTTCGAAAATACCTAAGCCGACTACTCGAGCAAGTCATCGAGACAGCACGATCGAGAGTTCTAGCAGCAGGCTGCTGGAAATCATCAAGGAAGAACGAAACGGTCCTCGAAACGATACACTCGCGGATCAGCAGACGAAGAAGATAACCGATGACGCCACAAGCGACTCTTTTGGGTGCAGGGGTCAAGAATGTTTCAAGGCCGAGCCTCGGCCGAGCGACTGGTTGAATCAAGCCAGACACGATCGCCGAAGCGCCACCGTGAACGAGCTATTCTTGGCGGCGACGAGGGGCGAGAATGACGAATCGAGCGACGATAAGCCGAACGGTCACGTGGCCCGGTCTGATCGGCTTAAGATTACGACACGTTCCGCCGCCCAGGCTGGACATCGACCGTTGGCGAACAACAACGCGATAACTCGCGATTCAGAGAGATTGTTAGCGAATAACATTAAGTGTCCGATCGCGCTGAACGGTACCGTTACCGATCGATCGATGGATGCCACTGGCAAGAGGACGCCGCCTCTCAGGAAGGCAGCCGATCTTGGCAAGCACGTGAATCCGGCGTTGATCGACAACAAACTCGAGGTACCACCGTTGCCGAAGCGCGCGGTCACGGTCGATAAATCGTGCATCGACACAACGAGTATTTTCGATCAGAATCCGCCGAGAAGTCGTCTGGAACCACGAAGAGGACACCATGAAGCGGAGAAATTGAAACACGTGGCCGCTGTGGAGATCATGGATAAACTGAAAGAGCTGCAGACGGAAACATCACGGCGGCTCGACGACGATAAGAAGGGCTCCTTGCCTCAAGAATATTTCGCTCAGCAGCTGAGGTACATCGAACTGTTGGAAGATCAACTAAAAAACGTGATATTAGCGGAAGACGAGGAAAGAAAGGCTTTCGAGGAATTTCAAACGCACTTTTGTCGAACGAAACAATGTGATGACACGAGGAGACCGTCTCTCGCTGATATCTCCGAAGAAACTTCGAAAAAAATTAGCATAAATCTCGAACGCGAACGTAAAATTCCGATCGACGTCCGTGGGATGACAGACGGAAAATGTGGGAAAGATAAGCGAGCGGGACCTCAAGGTCTCGAGGAGAAATGCTTCAAAGAGATCTATCGAAGCGAGCCGAGAATTCAAAAAGAATCTTGGCAGGAGAAGTCATGGAATATGGAAAAGAATCGTACAGAAACGATCGATAAAATAGGCAATCGGCAGTTTCTGAAGAAGGTATGTCATGAGAACGACCACCACGAGGAGAAATCCTCGGAAAGTATTAAACATGAAGAACGTCACGTGATCACGCAGAAGGAAAACTTGACGAGAACGGAGGAAAATGGAACGTTTAAGCCTCGCGAGGACGAAATTAATGATCGTTGCACGAAAACGCGGTCGACGAGGACACCGAGGAACGAATGTGAGATGTCCACTGAAAAGATGACTCAGCGTAAGAACGTTGAAGTGAAGAGACCGACGGCATTACCAACGAACGGGGAGGCATTTCGCCAGCGAATGTACGACGAGTACGTGCACAAAGTGTTAGAGCGGCAGGAGCGGAAGAGCCACAAAGTCGTGAAGATCAGCTCGCACGAAGACATCAAGCGCAAAGCGGACGGCGACATGAGCGCGATGGCAAAGGAATTCATCGAGAAGGCACGCAACCGGCTGAACAAGTTTGGGATCAATCTCGATGAGAGCGGAACGGAGCACGAGGATGAGGAGAGTGATGCCCTGATCAACGCGAAATTCTTAATAGACGGCAAGGAGCTCCAGGACGTCCGGAAGCTGCCGAAACATCTGCGGGAGTTCCTGAAGATCTCCACGATGAGCGACGACGAGGGCGGTGAGTTACGGCGAATGGAATGGACGATGGAGTTTGCTGTGTTGCTCGTCGTGTTCCCGGAAGTCAAACAAATCCGTCTTGAACTCTCGAATGTCTCGCCAAGGGACGCCTTTTAACAACCACTAACGTAACGTGCACATCTTGTCCGACGTCCGTAGATGCCTTAGTGTTTGTCGTCACTAACGTTCTTGGTACTATGCTAATTCTCTTTATCTGTCCGCCTGGTGCCAACAATACATGAAAGGACTGTTGGACAAAAAATGCAGGAAGGATAAATAATTAATCTTCTATTATAATGTTTACCCGGCGCAATGTCCCTTTTTACAAACTCGTTTTAATAAATGTGATTTAAAGAGACTGAAAACAACGATATAAAATTTCGCGTGATAAAACGCGATGAAGTAATATTCATCTCGCAGTTGATTGAAATAATTGAAATATTTTTTTTGGAATATCACGAATTTCTCATCTTCAATTCCGTGCAATATAAAATCGAACTGTAAAATTTAAAACATCGCGACTCTTGATTAAAATCGTCGAAAAGCGAAAAATTGGGGATTTCTCCAATAAATGTCATCTCGTCGGATCGTCTCAGTCATCTATCACATCGTAGGCGAACTTTCTTAATATGGGAGACAAGCGGTAACGTCGAAACGGAAATCTCATTATTGTCTTGAGTACTGTTTTCCTGCACGGCTCCGGAGGCAAGATTAGTTCTCGGCAAAGCGGAAGCGCGTCGATCTATTTACGTTGGTGCAGGTCGTGCAGCATCATAATCACACGGTCCAGATTGCTCCAATTCCGTAATCCGATTAATAACTCGTCTCGCAACGATACGATCAGTCTTGTATAAATAACAAATCTCGTTGTATCGTGAAACGCGCGAGTTAACGTGATATTGTAACAAATATACGTGTTTACGAGCCTTCCTCTCATTGCCAGCTCTCTGCCTAACGTGCCGTGGTATCGGGTGCGCCTGCAGCAGGATTTAATATTCCGCAACATAAATCCGGCACGCAATCGACACGCGTGCTGCTCGTACATTTTGGCATTTATTTTGAGACGGTGATCGATTCATCAAAATGACGCTGTGGAAAATTATTGCGTTAACATTCGTGTTCGCGGCGCTGCGACAGCGTCGCGGATAATGAGCCGCGACAGTTTGCGATAACGGATATCAACATGGAGGTACAGAGGCTATCAAATTGCGTCATGTCGTTCACGCGTCGGCTCCCTGGAGCCGATTATAGTAGCAGAATCTTTAATCTTGTCATCGTTATATCGAGTAATTCAAAGAGATCTCTCTTTCCTCGAAATAATAAGATGACAACGCAATTTATCGTCTTTAAACTCTCTAAAGTTTCACAACTCACGGTTAACTCTTAATCGAGGTTCAACTTATTCATTGTCTCTTTCTAATTCTAGAATTGGAAAGAGATGAAAAACAAGTTGAACCTCGGTTAAGAGTTAACCGTGAGTTGTGAAACTGGGCCTAAATTCTTTGAAGTGGAATCTCTAAAAAGTAAAAATTTTGCCATTCTTTTTAAAGAATGGCAGAATTTTTAATCTTGAGTGAGATTTTAGTCTTTAGAATGAAATTCCACTCTAAAGAATTTAGAGAAAAGCTCCCACAAAATTCTATTCGACACGATGCGTTTTCTATCGCTACAACGTTGTCATTTAGGTGGTGCTACGTCTGATG